TTGACTCTCAAACCTAAATGCACCTCACTCGCTGCCAGTTATATAAATGCTTCCATAAACGAAAAATAAATATGGATGGAGATGACAATGAAATTATTGATATGGGTAAGAGTATACATTTTTTAAACCAAAAATTAAAATATTCTGAAATGCCATCTGCTGTATAGAACACAGTATGAGACTTTTAATAGTAACACAGGGATAGTGATGCGGAGACCATCTTGAAATATCGCTGCCAGCCCAAAAATAAACCTCTTGCTACTACAAACTCTCTCTCCTGGCCTTTTTATATATGACACACTTTCAAGAACTAGAAAAATCAGTAGTTTTTTATGGTTCGAAACAGGACCCAGCTGTCCCTGATCGCTGATAATCATTAAAGGGCTTTAAATAAATTAGGTCCTTAATGATGAAACAGCTTATCTTAGTCATTTACATAGCTACACAGATCATCTCACAACATTCTATAGATTTGTATATAGTGTCTATACAGGGTGGTAATAAAGTCCCAGGACAGTTAAATATTTTAAAAAATAATGTGGATAGAGCTACAATACTTGGTACAAAGTTACAGGGCATAAAACTCTATTTTAACACATATTCAGTGATCCAATAACTCTTCAGGGGGACGGCCCACAAGGAGTCGGAAGAAAATCTTAAATGGAAGCATAGGTCAATATGCACATAAAATTAAAGGTCTTTTTTAGTAAAATACAATGCCGCAAACCGCACTTCAAAAGGTTGATCCTGCGCAAAATGGCAGATGTTCAAAGATTTCTTGAATCTGCCATTTTGAATCTTTGAACAACTGCCATATTTTACTCAGGCATTCTTTTGAGCTTGAATTTACGTCATCGTAATCTACAAGTGAAGACCTTTAATTTGATGTGCATATCGACCTATTTTTACGTTAACAATTTTCTTCCGATTCCTAGGGCTGTGCCCCCTGAGGAGAAAGCGTATAATAGCAATGTAAATTAAATGAATCTTTGAACAACTGTCATTTTGCGCAGGATCAACCTTTTGAAGTGCGGTTTGCGGCATTGTATTCTACTAAAGAAGACCTTTAATTTTATGTGCATATTGACCTATGCTTCCACTTAAGATTTTCTTCCAACTCCTCATGGGCCATCCCCCTGAAGAGTTATTGGATCACTGAATATGTGTTAAAATAGAGTTTTATGCCCTTTAACTTTGTACCAAGTATTGTAGCTCTATATTCATTATTTTTTTTATATTTAACTGTCCTGGGACTTTTTTACCACCTGTATAGATTCTATAGAACTGTATACACTAGCTCATCTTTCACTCATATTTTGGTTCAAATATACACCTAGGTGGCGTCCCCTTCTCAAAAGGATAACGAAAAACAATAACACAGTAGATCTAGCAAAATGTATTATAAATCTTGGTACTGTAGCAGCTATCTAACTTTTCTGTAGTCTTTCGCAGGTCAGATTATTGTGTTTCAAACTGATTATGGCCGAACTTAATTGCATATTGCACACGATGTAGAGCAAGAGAGGCACTACAAGTGTTTTTCATAGGATTAAAATTGTATATTAATTATGCCACATGAAGGGTTGGAAGGTCAGATTCACATAATTTAAGGAAAGGAAGGTCCCAGGTCCCTAATCTTCAGCTAAAAGTATTTCCACCATAGAGTTATTATAAAGTAGGTAGGTAGTAAGTCTATTATGGAAATATCGTTGCTACACACCTTGAAGTGAAAAAATGGATTTATTAAGTCTTTATATGTTAAGTATTGATAAACAAATAAAGTGATTTAAAAAAGTAAAATTTACCCCCGCAGCGAACCTGCAAACTAAGCGAATTTCAGTCTATAGCTGGAATTCCACTAAACTATTCCCTTAAAATTGTCAGATTTATTTTCTATTTACTCAGGTAGAGTTAGGTTTGCTGCTACAAGGAAGAAGAGGGGGGGGGTTTATTGAAATATAGATAGCTTAGTATGAAGTAAACATTTCAAAATTTCATTAAAATATTATGTTCTTAGACAAGCAGGCTACAAGAGTTTTAATTCTCCATATAAGAATAACGTGGTAATTTTAAATTTCCCTTTTTTGGGATTTTTTCCGAAACCGTTAGACATACAACATAATGCTTCAATATACAAATTATTTGTTGTTTTTTTAGCTCTACAAAATGGTTCGGAAATAAAATGCACAATTTTATGTTTACAGTGTGAAAAATGGAAAACCCCATTACACCCATACCCCTCATAAACAACTGTTCTCATAGTCCGATCATGCTGGTTCGCGAACTCGATCGTTAGAATGAAAATGTGGTTTACACGTTTATACAAAATTTAATCAAAATCAGATAATTTTTGCTCGAGTTATCGTGCTAACACACACATATATAAATCTCTTGTGTTTGTGTATACATTGTATATATGAATTTGAACTGATGGCGTTTTTGGCCTCAAGGGACCTCAAAACGAAAAAAGTTAATCGGTCCCAATGTTAACATATTGGGGTTCTACACATCAACAAACCTAAACATAAATCATTATTATACATACATCAATATATGCGTTTTATGCTATATAATTATTCCACCATCTAATATACCTCAAGTCAATCAAACTAAAAAATTAAATGACTATGCTTATTATACGTGGTTTTCTTAAAGTATGACATTCAGAAAAGGTAATGAAATGTTGGTGGCTTTGGGTTGTATTGATTTTAAAACAGAAACAACATTATTATGCCAGCTGTGGCCCTCAATAACGTCAGCTCGGTCAGCTGTGTGGCGTCTGTTCAGTTTTCATTAGATATTAGATTATAGTGTAGACGTCAATCAGTGTTTCCATTTGAGGGATAAAAATCCCTTTCTAGGGATATTTAGGGCCTTCGAGGGATTGAAAAGGGATTGAGGGATAACTAGGGATAATCAGCGAAATTGAAGGATTTTTTAGATTTTCTAGGGATTTTAGGCCTTTACCATTATAAAATTGAAATATTGATAAAATAATACATATGGCTGTATTTCAACAACTTTAATGACCTATTTTGGCTAATTTTGCAAGGCTAATTTTTCAAAGTCGGAACACACAATAGGAAGAGTAACAGCCAACACTGCACGAAACAAGCAAAGGACTGGAGTCGGTCGGTGGAATGGAATGGAGGATCTAGATTACTGTATTTATTAAATACACTATTGTACTATGTACTGTGTATTTAGATTACTACTGTATTATTGTGGTTGTGTTTGTTGTAGCCCTGTGCCCTGTGTCAATGTCGAATGTTTGTTTTCGTTTTGATTTTGTTTGCCGGTGATTTCTGTGATGTTTTTTGGTTAGTAAGTAACTTGGTGTTTAACCTTTTCACCAAGGCATGGTGGCAATGTTTGAAAAAGACTATTAAGTTTGAAATTTGGACACTTGAGGAATATTTTTGAAACAATTTTAAATACTTATATTATTATATTCATTTATAAATGAACATTATTAGTTTCTAAAATTAATAACTATTTGTTTCATTTTTTAGTTAATTAATCTTGTTTTGTACCACATAGACAGTTTAATCACGGCTACCTAACCTATCATTCCAGGCCGGAGGCCGCAGCCTTCGAAATGGCAACGTTGCAAGTATAGTGTTAGTGTTGTAAAAGGTGTTTGTTTGGAGAACGCTAAGCTAATGATATTTATGTATTTTTTTAAGAATACGAAAGCTTGGTTACTGGGCTATGAAAATGTTGACTCCACATTGAATGTACAGAAATAGATGTTCAATTTATATTGTTTTGGTTTTCGATTATATATTATGTTTTAATTCCATGTTAACTTATGGGACGTCTGGTGCTAAACAATACTGCGGTACTTGCAACGTTGGAAAAATGTGGTTCGGATTCCACTATAAACTGTTGTATGTCCCTTAGTTGCCATTAGCTGTATGGGCTATTAAGCTGTGTCTAAGGAACATGTCGGCCTTAGTCACTAACAAGACTACAAGATCGCGCCACTCATCCTACACTCATATTTGGGTTAAAATTCTCACATAGTGGCGTCCCCCATCCTACTAATATTATAAATGAGAAAGTTTGGATGGATGGATGTATAGATGTATGGATGTATGTTTGTGACAAGTGAACGCGAAAAATACTGGTCGGATTGGGCTGAAATTTGGCATGATGATAGCTCACATTCCCGATTAACATATAGGCATATTCTTATTTCAAAAATCCTTTCGGGCTCCGCCCCAGTGGCTCTGGAGTTTCCCATGTTAACCTTATGAGAAATGAAATTATTGAATCTTAACAGCTGTTTCAATTAAACAAGTTGGTTCTGTTCTGTGATGTTCAATAGCATTTAAGTTACAAAAATTACCAACAGGGTGCAGCACTATTATTTCTTTTACATTTATGACAACAGCTAATTTGCAACCAAAAGGTGAGTGAGAGTAGCGAACGAACTTCAACCTGGAGGCGAGTTAGCGTAGCGAACGAGCTAACCTGAAGGCAAGTGAGCGCAGCGAACGAGCTCCAACCTAAAGGTGAGTGAGCGTAGCGAACGAGCTCCAACCCAAAGGTGAGTGAGCGTAGCGAACGAACTTCAACCAGGACGTGATTGAGCCATGCGAACGAGATAATCTTGAAAATTAAGAAGTTAAACGGGGCAAAGCCCGCGGGTTACAGCTAGTCTTAAATAATTTATATTGATATTGCCAATTCTACCAGGCCGCGGCCTGCCTGGAGTTAAAGATGGCCGTGGTTTTAATGGTGCAAAAATGTTTTTTGTATAGTATTACTTTATAAATAATATGGGATATTGAAGAATAATATCACCAGTTACCATATTTTAGGTGGCTATACATGATCCATTGGTATTGCTGCAAAAATAATAAGTTATCTCGATTTGATGAAGAGGGATAATTGGAGGGATTATTAGAACATGGACTAGGGATAACTAGGGATTTTTTGACGTTGGCCCAGGGATATTTTTTTCTTGCTGATGGAAACACTGACGTCAATATTTGTTACTATCACCTACGTCCAACGAATTATAACAATATTGAAATAACTGAATATTTATGGCAAATACTGTACAAAATATAATGTAGTTGTAGAATTGCAAGAATAAATTATTTCTGATTCGGTTAATACACAACAGATTTAAGAATGATATCTTTGTTGCTCTCATAGTCCGTTGGCAGATCACCATTTTTAGGTATTTATTTATAAATATTAATGTTTAATGTAGTTTTACTTTTATGATTTTAGTTGGTACTTAACCGTGATGATTGAGTTACAGAGATAAATAAATAGATAACTCATGGTCGAAATTAATTTTAAGGTATTAAAAACATTTTAGGTAATTTTATTTTATAGCGTATGTTTTGCAAGTAAGAATTTTATGACCCATGTTTGCTTTGTCTAGATGAAGAATTAACATAGGAATGCTTGTTGTATTAAAACTATTTACCATTAAAGCTTTTGTTGTTTGACATTCTAAGCTAAGCTATCCGTTTCCAAACAAAACATAAAAATAAAATGTTTAGTATATTTTGTATTATTGATTTTAATTGACAATGTAAAATTGAATTGTACATCACAAATCAGGCCAAAGTAAGCTATGATATTAATTTGAAAAGAAGGCTTGATTAATTCCAATGAAATGTCCTCTGAATTCTTTCTTCTAGGTCTAGAAAGGTTATGTTAACTTAGTGAGTTTGTCTGATTGGGCTTAAGCATAGCTTTCAGACCTAGCTCTAGTGATTTTGTCTGATTGGGCTTAAGCATAGCTTTCAGACCTAGCTCTAGTGATTTTGTCTGATTAGGTTTAAGCATAGCTTTCAGATCTAGCTTTAACTATTAAGACTAATATAGGTAAATACAGCAAGTCTGTAACAGATCTGTAAACCCATCTAACTTAGGTAAGTTAGGCCTAGGCTTTCAGCGCAATGAGGACACATAGGCTACAATAACTTAAGTTAGCAAATTTGCGAAAAATGAATTTGCCTTTGAGTATTACCTTTTTGTAACTATACTTGTTATGGGCCTAATCAAAATTCTGCCTCTAGTGTCTAAACTATATGCCTAGGTGTTAAAGTAAATCTAACTATTCAATATGCTTAGGCACAACTTTTGGCCTCAATATATAAAGGCCGCAGCTGGTAATTTCACACTTGCCGTCCTAATTGTCATGGTAATACCAATCAGTGTATCTAGAAGACCAAAACAAAAATCCCACTTAGGCCTATTCCTATTGGGTTGTAAAAATTCTATTTCATTCCGCTTTTATAAATTAATAATCATGTTTTATCCCACATATATTTCTCCGTTAGCCTATATCCAGAGTAAACTTTTATAGTGTAATATGTTTAAATATTTCTTTAAACCAATATTGCAATATAACTTAAGTTAGGCCTATTATGCTAAAATAATTTAATCAATTGAGGTTGGTTTTATCTGAAAATCAGTTTGATAAAGAAAAAAAAAACCCAGAGCTAAAAATCCTCTTTTATCTCGCATCCCCTTTACACATGGTATAAAATCCTGTGCATAGAAATATGGCTGCACTTAAGTTTACGTCCTACACTCATTCGAATAAATATATCGGTTGATATATCGATTATTTAATTCGATATATCAAGTTTGGTTAGGTTAAGTTTAACCGAATGAAATAGTCTAATCGATATATTGAATGATCTACCTATATATTGAATAATCTATATCGATATTTTTCATTCGAATGAGTGTAGGACGTAAACTAAAGTGCAGCCAGAAATACTGATAACAATAATGACAAACGTGTTAACATTAGCATTGCACATACGCTTCATATGATCTGGTGCTACAGCTGTTTCTGTCGGCCGGGACTGCTGAGTTGCCACTTTTATCTCGCTCGCCGCCGCCTTAACTTATACTTATAAGATTAGGCCATGGATTAGCTAAAAATAATTTTGTTCACTCACGTAATATTGCCTTGTCATTATTAATCTGCATGAATGTTATGGTACGAATGATGATGCTGAAAAACAATCCATAGCCCTTGACTCCTTTATGACAAAATAAGCGTTCTTATCCATCTATGATGTAAAAAAAAAAAAAAATTGTGCTGGCAAGTATTGTTGCAAGTGCAACTTTGTCAAAGCTTAAAAATCAAATCAACATAGGCTATGGTAATTGTAACTATTTATTTTGATATTTTGGCTTGTTGTAAGCTTTGACAATGTTGGACTTTCAATAAAACTGGCCAGCACCTTTTTTTACAAAAGGTCAATGACTAAAGTCTGGACTACAAACAAAGGTAAAGAAGCCTTTGATCACTTATTTGTCTCCATTGTCTATCACCCCATCAATTTTTAAGCCAACTCAGTGTAGGCCTAAAGCTGTAATTAATTATTTATGATCATCACAATTTTAGATATCTTACTTAAACCATTTAAAAAAAATATATCTTGTGGTTAAATTTGACTGATTTTCATGTTGTGGTTGTATGCAATAACGTAAGTTATGTTCAATTTCTTTTTATGGGTTTGTAAAATTTTTTAGTAACTAAAGCTAGTATTCTGAACCATTGCCTTAATTTATTTTCAATGATAAACTATACAATTATCTAGCAAAGGGGGTTTACTCAAACAGAGTAAATGATGAAACCTATCATGAAACTACAGTATACTGTTGGCCAAAGATAAATAACTATCTGGATGTCAAAACAATCAAAAGCTTTATACATTCATTTGAAAACATTGCAGGTCCTAAAATAATTTCGGTCCTGTATTACGTCCACAACATAAAATCTTTGGGGTTTGTTGTCAATTTATTATAAATTTCGACATTTCAATGAGTGATGTTCTAGAATGTCCTTTTCAGCCCAATGTCATGTTTTACAGAACGTAGTTGGTTAAAAACCTTGGAAGTTATGAAATAAGCATCCTATTAATTAATCAACTGAATGCTAGTAATTAGTAACGCTAGTATTAGGGTTGTGAATAGCTTCAAAATTAAACACCCACAGTAGGGTATTTTAATTATTTGATTTATTTCTACTAACGTAATGAATCTCCTAAGATTAGCGCATAAAATTGCTTTTGAATTAGGATTTTTAGCTTCACTATTGAAATCAGCCAGGTTTTAATAGAAAGAACCAGAAAGAGCAAAGTTAATTGGGCATAATTGGCTCCATTCAAGATGTCAGTTCTTTTATAATGGCAGTTATGTTGAAAATTTGACCTCAATTAACATAGCCTAGATTGAATTAATTATTATTTATGAGGCCTGTCCGAGATGACAACTGACTATTTTTCATTATGTTGTTTACATAAACATACTGATATTTAATTTCAACATGTCTGTATTTTTTGTAAAATAACATAAATCTCAATTCCCTAAGTTGAAGTGAATAGAAAAGCAACAATCAACCAAAAGTCATTAAATTGTGTTTGGATTTTAGGATTTTATTTTCATCGCCCAAGTAGAACAATTTAATTTCAAATGTATTGAACAGTTAAACTGATAGGTTTTAATAGTTAAAGGTAGAGGCCTCGTTATTTGTTGAAAATTTTGTTCATTTCACAATTCATCCCTTGACAATTTTCTCAGAGTGTTCTCAAAGAAATGCTTTACTAAAAATCGATCATTTTGTTTGTATTAACAGTTTCAGTCTAGTTTGAAATACCATGGTTGTTAAAAAGTTCAAATAACTGTTATTTGTTAATCCAGAATTTATGATCTACAACGGGAGCAAGGTTAATTTTTGGATTGAATGTTTTCTTATATTCTTCAATTCATAAAACTTGGAAGTAAATAGTATTTTCTGACAGAGTGAATTGGTAAATCGCTCTATCCTCTTGTATTTTTAATAAATATTGTGTAATGTTAACCATAAATACTGCAATATGAGGTTGGTGGTGTAACCAACCTGCAATGGAGGTTGTAGGTTTAAGATCAAGATTGTTTCTCTCTATCTCAAACACCAGTTGAAAATTACTATAGTCTCGTTCACACGGGGCGAGTTTACACGCTACTCGCCGGCGTGTAAGAAGCCGGGCGAGTTGGCGAGTGTGCTTGTATTCGTTCACACGGAGCTTGTCCACTTGCCAACTCGCCAACATGTAGAAAGACGCCGGCGAGTCGGCGAGTGCGCTTGTAGTCGTTCACACGATGCTTTTTCCACTCGCTCAGTAGCTGGCTTGAACCAAATCCTCCAACATCTTTGAGTAACAAGCGCACAAGCACAAGCAACTGTGTTCACACTGGGCTACTTTACACGCCTACTCGCTCAAAAACTGGCGAGTTGGCGTGTAAAGTAGCGGCAGCGTCAACTTTTTCCAGAGCTTTTTTACAAGCAGCTTTTGAGCGAGTACGTCGTTCACACTGAGCTATTTTACTAGCTGCGTGTAAAAAAGCCGGCTTGTAGCTTGTAAACTCGCCCCGTGTGAACGGGGCTTTAGACAGTGAAATATCCTTGTTGTGTACTAGAAAAATATTGACTTTGTTACTAACTGTTTAGCTAAAGATTTATAACTCATGTAAAGTTTTTGTGTTTCTTGCATCAGTATGATTTTTTCAATTCAGGTAAGCCTGCTTTTCCAATCTTATATTATTGCATATTTTGTGTTTCTATGCCATTGACCTTTTGTTATTGATACTTATGCCTGAACCGGTTCCAGGGTGGCATGAGAGGTTGGGAGGGATGCCTAGTAAACCAGTGATGGTAAACACAACTGGTTACTTACCTCTCAACTATCGCCAGTCCAAGGGCTTCGTTGTCCGAATCCCGTTTGAGAAGCTCGCTTGGAGCACCTGTCTGCTGCCCCTCAGCAGTTTTGTTTTTTGCGTCATCTGGTCCTTACTCTACAACTTCGATGACTCCACCTTCACCCATTGCAAGGTATACGATTTTGTAACTGTGTTCTTTGTGTTGAATAGAAAGTGATTTATTGGGTCTGATTATGATTGGAGTGTCCAATCGAAATCAATTAGGTACCACTTACCATCTTTAAAGTAGGCTATATTTACCGTCGTGTGAGTAACAGTATAAGCGTAAATATATGTTTTATGTTTTATAAGATGTTTCTTTTATTTACTTTCCGTAAAGTGATTTTGACAGCCACTTTAGTTACATTTCAATATAATAGACATGATAATTACTTCTTTTAGAATGAGTTGTGTAATAGAAGCCGAAAGAGTTTGATACATTGTTGTTGGTTTATAAATTTGAAAAAAATACCACTTAAGCAGACTTACACACTTTGACATGTGTAAATTTTCAATACAAATATAAGTCACAAAAGTTTCATGTAGGCTTACTGGGTTACATTAAATACATTTAGTTAGGCCTACCTAATTTTGAATCCGTCAGAGACTAATTATTTTAACAATGAATAGGGTTTAATAGGACTATAGAGTACTAGAGTACTGATGTTAGTTTCATTTGTAGGTGCCAAACTTTCTTCCGTCAATATCGGCGGCGATCGGCAACTACAGAACGCAGAGGTTTGTGTGGGGCACAGCTATCGCGGTCCACGCAGGACCCAGATTTCTGTTCACATCCATGTATCGTCAGTACTACAAGGACATACTCAGTAACGGGGCACAAACATTGGCTTCCGTCGCGTGCTTCCTTAACGTCGTGGAGAACGTTGCTCTCATCGGCTTAACGTTCATCCCGTCCGCATACAACTATGGTGAGTGCAAGGAAATAAACTGTATATTTACGTACGTTAAGGTTATTGATGTAAAAAAAAATGTACCATTCTTGGTGCAACATATATTTGTAGACTATATTTATTTGTAGATTATATTTGTAGGCCTAGGTCAATTATGAAATTAGAAGGCTATTAACTATTGCAGTCACTGACAATATCCGCATTGGCTTTGCCTTAACAAAGTTTAACGTGTCTCCTTTCTATAAACCCATTAGCAGGTACTTACTTGGTCTGCGAAACGGACTACTTTGGCTTGTGACTATGCCTGGGATGAGATTACCCAGCAAAGAACACATTGTAGAGGAAGGCTTCTTCACTGCCAAGACTTTTTTTAAAACTGGAAGAACACGCTCTCTTGTTTAGGGATTACAATATACAATGGAAAGACGCTGAAAACATATCTTTTAAGAGTAATTTTTAAACAATTGAGTAGGTAAAATGTACTATAGCCTAGCTAGTAGCTACTAAGCAAATTTACAGTAATTGTTCTTGAAATCCCATGTATCAGGGCAAATCTAGTTAAAAGCATGTACAGTAGAATTCCAACCATCCAAACTCCAGCTATCCAAATCGCTCTCAGAAAGAATGAAAAAAAACACAGTACCTAATAAGAATTGTTGTTTAGTTAGGCAAAAGCCAGGAGCGAGGCAAAATCTAAAAACTCTTGCGCTGTTGTGTAGACATCAAAATCATGCAGAAAAATATTGCACATCTGCCTCGGTCTTGTAGACATCATTATTCTTCTAAAAATCATAACCGTCCTCCGCAATCGCGGTGAAAGCATGAATTTTTTAATCACAAAATCTTTGCAGACACGTTCTGCGATCGCAATAGTAAAACTCAGTTAGCCTCTTTCTGTATAATACTTGATTATCCAAAAATGTATTACGGTCCCAATTTATTCGGAAAGTTGGCGTTCTACTTGACTTTATCCAATTCAATTTGTATACATAAAATAGTTATTCAGGCAATTATCACAGCTGTATTTAATCTGCACTAAGTAGGCCTATTGACACTCTGCCTAAATGGAGTCAGGGTAAATGTAAGTGCATTGACGAAAGCTGTTCAATAACTTTCGGGTAAAGCCTTTGAGTATCCAGGGTGGCAAAAAATTGTATCTCTGCTTTCTTGTCTTTTTAGAACATTACACCCACTTTCCTAAATCTATACATGTAAAATTAGAATGGATTTGACATATTTTAAATTACATCAAGTAACCGTTACCGGTACTCAATTATTTGGGGGTAGGCTATCACCTGGATGGATTGGAGTTGAAGACCTTATCTCTGAGAGTGTTACATAATGTACAGTCTTACTTTCATGCTGTGACTGTACCCAATATTTTAAAATTGAAAATAGTGCCCATATCCCCACCTGATATGTGTAACCAGTCCAATGTTTTGTTTGCAGCTATTCACGAGAAGTGTTTCATGACGTTCATGCTGACGTCGGAGCTGTACATGGTGCTAACTTGTGTTCTACTGACGAGGTACAGAGCCCAGCCTCCCAGCAACGTAGAGAGCAAGTCGCTGAGGCTCAAGTACCAGCTGTTAGCCATCAATATGGTGTCCTTCGCCCTGGCTGGATATTTCTTCATCAGACACAACTTGTATTGTGAGCCTGGGGGTAAGTTTGTAATTTCAAAGTTAAATTGACAAATACTTCAAAACAGGAGATGTTTGTTGATTGTATAGTCTTAATTTATTTATTTAAATCAATAATTTGGTTTTCTGTTTAGTTCTTTATGAATAAAAAAATGCTCTGTCACAGTAATATTTTATTTTTATAGACTTGTTTTTCTTACCTAATATACACACACCTAATTTTCAATTACAAAATGAAAACTTCTTTACTTGATTTTTCTATTGAACCTTCTTAGAAAACTAAGATTATTACTTAAACTTACTTAAAATTATTAAGATTAACTTTTTATCAAGATTTAATAAAAAACCTTTTAGTAAATAAAATAGTGAACATCTTTTAATCCCTTTCTATCCTGTTATGAATAAGCTTGATATTTAGTTTAGTTTGATTTCTACGATGCAGACTTGATAACTGTGTTTCCCCTACAGTGTACTCGTTGTTTGCGCTGTGTGAATACGTAGTGGTCCTGACCAACATGGCGTTTCACATGACTGCGTCGTGGGACTTCCACGGCCGCCAGATAACCATCGACCAGTACGGACTCGACATCAGCTGACGGGTCCCCTTGCTGGGCTCGTCCGACGGATAACAGACAGCCTCCTCCGGGTATGTAACGTTCTTGTATAATCATCATCATCATCATTACTTTCAGTCTGATGTGTGTCTGACACTTGGGCTTTTTGCACCCCATTGAAAAACCTTTAGAAACTTAGAACCTGATTAGGGATGTTGCGATACTATTGATACCATTTCTCTTTCAATACCAATAGTAGCAATCTGGGTATTTGAAAGAGTATATGGATACTTTACTACATGCAGTGTCTTATCTAACAATCGCTTTTCTTTAAAATTTTATTTATATTGAAAAAAAATTCAAAATTGATTTCTTTTGAAGCTTGTTTATTACAAAAGAAGCCTATTTTATTCAAAAACATTTTAAATTACCTTTTTAAGTGGAGTTTGCAGCAGCAGTAGGCCTAGTAATCAAAGTAATTACAGTAGACTATTGGTAATGCACAAGTGGATAAACCATGCTGCAAATTAGTCACGATTGGAAAAAGTACATAGGGCCTAGTGTAATTTAAAATGTAGTAGGCCTACTTTATACAGCGACAACCAACATGTTTAGCTTCCCATAATCATGTAGGTAGCCTATAAAGTTACCGTTTTTTGCTTCACCGTTCAACGATGAGTCACTGATTACAACCGATGAGTTGATAAGTTACATTTTGTTTGTGTTTATATTTTCGTTATTGTTAGGCTTATGTATTTTATCCCTCAGTCTAGTCCACCCCTACACTCAAAAATGTTAATATTTTATTATATATTTCTATAACATTAGTAAATCACCAAATTTGAATCTGAAAAAATGTTGCATACTTATATTTTTACATAAGTATCCTTAAAAATTGACTGGTAATTCCACAAAAATTCCCCCAAAACCCTAGAGTTTTGTAAGGTGTTGAATACACCATTTAACCATATGCTATACAGTTATACAATATGCATACAATAGGCCTACTCAGTTATAGAATACATTATACAAAACATGAAACCATTACCAACTAACTGGTTTGAAAATATTGAAGGTCTGAAACTTCGTCCAATCCGGATAATTCACCGGAGGGCGTCGACCCGGAGTTTGTGCGGCTGCCAGAACATCGGCCGCGGGTGTTAGCCAACTACCCACCCTACCCGACGGCACCCAACATCTACGTAACATTCCTGGACCCTCTCAACTACCCGGACCCGCTGCCCGAGTGGTATCTGTCCATAGACCACCCCCAGCCGTGGGCCTACTACAATGTTCTCAACGGACAAAAACACTTTGTCATTTCAGTACTTAACTCTTGATATTCTCCCCTTAGCAGGGAGTATGGTGTAATGCTTTGAATGTAGGCTTGTTTTCCGTTCGGACTTAAGACTGTGCTGCTCCGTCTTGACCAACTGGCTGTTATTTTTGTTCGGTAGTTTCGTGTAGTGGAAATGTTTTTTACGATTTTTCATAAGTAGTCGTATGAAAGTATTACTTGTAGTTTTAGTTGAGGAGTGGGTTATGGTGATTACTTAATTGTCGTATTTTGGTTTTGTTTGGTAAAGTACGTATTGAAGTATGGTAATCAATTAAATATTTTCCTCCGGATCACGTTTGAGCAGAATAAAAATTAAAATTACTTGATGAGTGATTCTCCAAAAATGGTAAAGTGATTTAAGTTTATAAACCGTAGGTTCATTTTCAAGTAGATTACCTAGTTATTTAAAAAATCCTCTTTACCCTGGGGTTATGAAGAGTATCATTTCAATAACTCTTGGTATTCTCATCGAGAAAGAATCTTAACCTCTTACCAAAACCAGGATCATTTTGACACTATTGTACTACATGTATTCAACATTTTACTTAATCAGTTATTATTTAAAACTTTAACATCGGTTTTGATAACTGCCAAATGATTATAAGTTGCATTTCAGAAATAAATAATGTTAGTGAAGCAAAAAAGGATTCATTCATATTCATATAATCGTTAACAAAAGTAACTATTGAATATGAATCTTCTCATAGTTTGGAATCTCTTGACTATTTTGTGCAAATACTCGTAGTTAGATATTTTTTATACATTTAAATCTCAGGTATTTTTGTAGTAGTTTTTTTCATGTATGGGTCCACGATTTCCTTTTGTTTTTTGACAATTTCACAAACTGCATTCACTATTAGGAAAACATTAAACAATGTAAGGCGATGAAACATTATAAATATGTAGTTCATAATTTATTGGTCTTCTTGATATACGTAAGTCAATGATCTGATCACTATGTTATTCTTGCAGCTTCCAAGTTTGAATTGTGTTGGTAATACCAAATGTTTGTAATAGTTTTATTTAAATACAAAGGTTTTGCTTGCACCTTAAGGACAATATTCACAGCCGTATGTTAAAAGTTTATCTTAGCTGTTATTAACAGTAGATATCACTTATTTATCGTAATACTCATAGAAAAATATGCGCTGTTGAAGGGTTTGCAAGAGTTAGCCTACTATTTCAGTTTTCATGGAAATAATATAGTTATAACTGCGGTAGTTGTAATATTTAAATTGTTTACAGTGACTTTTCATTTAACGACTTATTTCAAAATAAATGCAAGCAGGTCCTTTATTGCTTTTTAAATGCTCACTTTCTGTAAAGTTATTGTCTTCCATATATTTAACTGTTCAACTAGTTTCTGTTTTGTACAGTACAGTATCTTTTCAACTAAGAACTAATCATTGTTGTGGAGATTATTAACTAGAGATTGTTCCAATTGGAAAGGTTGTGTGTTCCTCTGTGTTTAAGATAAGCGTGTTGAACTATTTGTCGTGATTAACTTAAACATTAATCAATATTTTTCCATTTATGAAAGTAAAACTAATATTAACTTAACTTTTTTGTGAGATGCAATTTGCTGAAATATTAATTATTGAGTATTTGCATAGACTAAGCAACACAAGTAGACTCCTCATCCCATTGTAAATTTTGAAGCTTGTTTTTTGTGTCTAGTTCATGTACGTCCACACTGATCGCTAGTGTAGACAACATTTTGTTTCTATTATTTTAGGGTTATTTTAATGATTTGTGCTTTACTATTTGGTTAAATAACTAGGAGACCAGTTATTGTTTATGATTATATCGTTTTATTAGGTTAAACGAGGTTTTAAATGACTGCAATAACAAGAAACAAATTGTAAACAAAACAAAACCTCTATAGTTGGACGTACAGAACTAACAATAAAATTGGCTTCAGATGTTCCATTAGGATGATTAATCTACTAAGGGAGTATGTTTTATCTATGGTATTTGTTTCAGAGGAAAGATAAAAAACTGTTAGTTTGGTGTTTTGTTTTATCCATTATAGATTTTTTTCTTATCCATCGAAATCGGTAGGAAGCTCTTCTCAAAACTTGATTGCAAGAAAATAGATAAACTAATGATAATGGTACTATTTTACCTCCGTCATGTAATGCAATTTGTTTCTCAAGATCAGTAGACAAACATGTTTTGCGGCTGATATGGCTTCGTCAGGGTAGCAAAAACTAATCTGTCATAACTGTCACACACGCAAAAATAACTAAATACGTAACAAACATTTAGATATAATACTGATAGGCATATCACACAACGTAGACTTCATGGTAGAATTTGTTTTGTTTTGTCTATTACATGAGCTGCAACAAACATTTTGTGTCGTGTGATAGGTCTATCAGTATTAAATCTAAATGTTTATTTTTGTATTTATTTATTTATTTGTGTACTTGTGACATTTATGTCAGGTGTGTTTGCTTTCTTGATGATGCCGTGTCAGCAGCGAAATATATAGATACACTAGGTAAAATAGTACTTTTTTGTCCTAGGATGCTAGGTACGAACCTGGAATTTTTTCACATTACTTCAGGCTAGACCTAGGGGTTGCAGCATTATTACTTATATAAAATCCATTGGTGATTTGGCAGGATTTGAATCCGGAACCAAAGCCGCGCTCTAACCACTAGATCAGTTCGCTCCCCCCTACTATTAAGGCCAAGTCACACCGAGCTCGCTCCCGCGGCGGGAGCGAATTTTGAAAAATCGCTCACCGTTTTATCAAATGTGCCAAGTCACACCGCACTACCGCGCGCCCGCGGGCGTGCGGTAGTGTCCGCCACGTCCGCCTGCTGAGCGATTTTTTGCGACTACCGCGGCGGGAGTTTTGTCTAGCGCATGCGCTAAAGGGGCATTTTGAATGCCCAAGCTATTTAAAGTTTAAAAGTAATACAGTTTAATACAGTTTTAAATTAAATTTAACATGTTTCTTTTGTTTGATTATGAAATCTATGTTGTTTTGTAATATCTTCGTAATTATGTTTATCACCAAAAAAAATAATTTTTGTTTACCATGCAAAAATAACGTTTACAGTGAAAATTTAATGTTTCCCATGAACATTTTTATATTGCCGACGTAAACAAATTTTGTTTTATTGTTTCATCAACTTTTTCGATTTGCAACAACCAAAACTTTATAATCAATGTAAACTTGAACTTCCAATAGAAGGCTTAGCAAAAAATTACATTATTTTTAAAATGGTCATATGTTTTTATTTAAAAAGTAAATAGTCTTTGTAGTGTAGCGAAAAATAACGTTCAAAATGCTGAACGTGGATAATTTATCCTCAACCATATTTAAAATGCTTCGAACACAAGGTCTAAATTAAATTTAAAAAAATAATTATTCACTTTTTAAAGTAGTCCTACACTAATAAATTAATAAACATTCAATTGCTTCTTAAGCACTTGACTTAAAACCTGCAAATTTACATGGCATACTAAACAGGTAAGATAAGTTTCTTATGTAAAATGAATTGTAATGAACTCATCTCAAAACTCCCGCCGCGGACGCGAACTTTCGGTGTGACATGGCTCGAGGAAAAACATCCGCGCGCGGTACTCCCGCGGCGGGAGCGGCAGATGTCGGTGTGACATGGCCTTTACTTAGTACCATTATATTAGTCATTAGAGTAATCCCGGGGCCCCCAACATGGAATTCATAATACAAATTTTATACATGACTTTAAAATCTGTTTATGATCATTGTAAATTGAACAATGGTTGAATTAAAGGATATAAACAAAACCATTTCTTTAAAATTCTGCTTAAAGCAATATTTGAAATTGTGCTACTTTTTTTATTCGAACCTGCCAAACATTGACATGCTCATTAAATGCAGCTCAAGGCTAGAAATGTAACCAAATACTCAATTAAACTACTCATTTGTATGTATTTAAAAATCTAAACCCAAATAATTCAATATCTTTTATTATGGAAGGGAAATTCCTAAGAAGATCTGTGCCACCCATATCAGTACATTTTAAATACGTTGTTTACGTTTGCAAAATGTATCGATAAAAACCGTTTATGCTAGACAATTTATTTTGTAAGTTCCAAAATCATACCATATTTGGGTATATTGTTGACAACCTTTGGTTAATCATTAAAACCTTAGCTTTTTATTAATTACATATCTGTTAAAATATCAAATAATTTTACTATTGTTGATAGTTGTTAATGATTAATTCTGTTTTCAGTAAATTCTATAATTACTGTTAGTTAAATTTCTTGTGCTATATTGCACTATTGTTAGGTCTATTGTCAAAAAAAGTGTTTCAGGCAAGAACTTTTTCTGTATTGGAGTTTTAATTTACCTGAAAATCATGTGGCCATTTTTTATCCCCCTTCATTACTTCTTCAGAAAACATGCATCAGTAAAAAATTGTGTCTGTTTTGAATTGTACATTGTTTGTAATTTTGATTGAAACCCCTAAGGTGAGATGATGGTGGTGCTATTTGATTACAAGGAGATTGTTTAACAACCTCAATTTGACGATTTCTGTGTTTAAATATTATTTTAGATCATAATTAGTTATTTTTCTTATGAGATTTAATATGATAAAATATATAACTATTGAAACTAAAGTGGATCAAAAACTATCAAGCGAATGTTTTTAGTTAAATATAGTTAGATTTTATTTTGATTTTTAAGTTTTGTATTGTAACGATCGAGATTCATTTTGTGATTACAATCAGTATTAAAATCACAAAATATGTTAATTTTAAATTATTTATTAGAAGTTTATTTCTTATTTTAATCCAATTTATTTTAACAAACTCTTTATTAAAGAACTGCATTCATGTTTTGTTCAAGTATTCTTGATTTTACTGATTCCAAGAATCTAGACAGACTATGTAATGCTTGTGATATTATGTACTTTATAATTTGTAAATAAAGATACTGTTTATTATATAGAAATCTGGACTGTTTATAGGTTTTGTGATGGAATTCACAAAAAAATATTTAAAATTTTAACTGTAAATATTTTATGGCATTGTACAACTTATTTAACCTTTTGTAACTATTAACAGATTACACTGCTGCACTATTGATCGCTTTTAAAAACTTTAAATCCTGATTATTATTTTCTTATTCAATACCTGTGTATTGATGTGTTTTGGGTAATATTGGTGAAATATGTAAAGATAGCGTATAATACTTTTATAAGTCCTAAAACTCATTATTCAGTCAGAATATGTTATTTGAAAGTACATTAAATTTATTATTATTTTACTGACTTAAACTTATTATTATTGAATATAATATTTCCTTAAACTATTATAAAGTTATTATATTGGGTTTTGGTAAAATTTTATTAAATTTTAAAGGAAATCCAAGTAAGGATTTTTAAAGGAGTAGAGTTAAACTGAATTACCTGGGAAAATTCCTCGACTAATAGATACAAAATAAAAGTCACAATCATTTATCTTTACTGTTTGCACTTTGATTCAAATGATCGTTGATGTTTCAAAACTTGTGCTTTGAGTGAGAAAAGCAAAATTTTCAGACGTTTTCCTAGTTTTTTATTAATTTATTAACTTTTATTAATTTTATTAGTTTACCTTAAGCTTACATATTAATATTACTTTCTTTTGTACTGAAAATGAAGTTACTCTTAATATTTTGCTTCCATTTACCAGGATAATGTAGTTTATTTATAAATGACTCATTTAACATTAATAGTTTTATTTGGGTTAATTAATTATTATCTTACCTTTACATTAATCAACTTTTACCATCCATTGGCCTGTTTGCTGTGCAACTGGACCACTCATAAATTCTATATTCACACCACTTTTAACTCTATAGTAAAACTGATCTAATTCCAATCTACATGTTTTTGATTGGATTGCAAATGTGATTATTTATTAGGATTGTTTATATAATTTTTTCCAGTGACCTCTACAATATTAGACCTAGAATTCCCTAGTACAGAGGTCAGTAATGGAATCATAATAATTTAGGGCTAGCGAGATCATACAAATCTGACAAACTCTTATCTGTTTTATTTACAAAATCAGCATTTTTGTGTTTATGAAGTTAAGTGTAACTCCGTTGTATGTGCTAATTGTCTCCATTTTCACGAATTGGAGTTCACTGCTATCAACAAAATTATGAATCTTTTCTTTTATTTATTTATTTTTATCTAACAGGGGCAGGCCGAGACCATAAAGCCATCCAAAAAGTCGAATTATGGCGCACCCCAGACAGTTGTTTTTTTGATAGACCTTACAAAATCAGTCATCCGATGTAAGCCTGTAGTATTCCTATCAATTCCTCCTTGGGAAGATATCTACCTCTTACCAAATTTCCAAGAGTTATCCTTCTAGCATCAGAAAGCTTTTCACAATTAAAAAGCAGGTGACCAGCTGTCTCCTCTGACCTACTGCAGTGCCCACAGATTGGTTCACCATCAAACAAGCCCATCCGTTGTAAATGTTTCCTGAATCACCCATGGCCAGTTATCAGTTCCACTGTTAATTTAATTCTTCGCCTGTCTAGCCTCAAAAAGTCAGAGGCAACCCGTTTAGAAGGCCTAACAGAGTAAGCTTGCTAACCCTAAGACGGGGAGTATCAGCCCAACGTTTTCTGTGCTTTTCATTGGCCCATGACACAATAGAGGTGTACACGCTTTTCGTAATATACAACAAAAGGGTTGTGGATCATAAATGTCTATTGAATGCAAACATCTCAAACTGAACTCCTAATTATCTGTGTTTGTGATCATCGTGTAGGATTATAATATTTGAAAAAAATAAAGCAAATTATTTAAAAAAATATCAATGAATGCTGCTATTTGTAAAAAAAATACCATTAACAAAGAATGACGCATGACTTGGCCAAAGAATTCTGGCGTTCTGTAGTGTTGACAGAAGTAAGCCAATGGATTCAATATGTTTAAACAGTCCAGATATTACTAAAGAGTGTAAATAGTAAATTTAATTTTCTAAGTCATTGAAAAGGCTTTAAATACTCTTAAGATACGTCTGATTCGTCAGCAGAGGTGTAGGGGATCTCAAAACTCTGGAACACACGGTTCAGTTTACATCAAGTATGATGAAAGTTCAATGTGTTCACTCGCTATGTCTAAAGTACAGTTTACACTTTTAATATATAGTGTGCATAGTGTGAAGATTAGATTAAGATTCAAGATATTACATGTCGGAATGGCTATGTACTACAATATTTTTATTAATTTGTAATCAATGTAAATATCATAACTATCGTTAGCTTCCGTGTAGTTGATTTTCAAACTTTTTAGTGTATATGTTATTTTGCAGATACTTGTTTCTACATGTTAATATTAAACATTTGTTCTTTGAATATTTTTGAGTTAAACTGCCTTATCCTTTTTTCCTCTTTTTTTGGTTAACCCGAGTTGTGGGAAAGACATCTGACCATAATGGGTTTCAGTACGGTTAGCCCTAATTCAATCCCTGTAGCCTATTCAGCAATATGATTTTGTTTAGTGATGACCAATTTATGCTTCAGAACTTACCTTAGATTCCAAAAGGAGGGGAAGTGAAAAGGCAGCACCATCATTAGCTTTACTTCCATTTAGCCAATATCAAACTATATCCATTAATTTATGGTGTTTGGTGTTGGTTTTTTTTTAACTTGTTATCACTCAAGATTAGTGAACCTCCCTACTGGCCACCAGTTGTCACTGCTTTTTATCATCACCCTTTGCTTGAGGTGAGCCATTCCCACTAAGCTCTTTCACAGAGTAACCTTTTCATAAGCTACACACCCAACACCAGATCTGATCGGGGGAGCGAGCTGGCGTAGTGGCTAGAGCGCGGGACTTCGGTCCGTGAGGTCCCGGGTTCGATCCCCGCCAAGTCAGCAATGGATTTATCTAAGTG